TATTTTTTTATTGGAAAAAAATTCTTTGGTGAATAATTTTGTAATTTTAAACTTTTTTTCAATGAAAATTTGGGTTGGGCACTTAGTTTTCCCGAGAAAAATCTTCTTAGCCTAAACACAATCATTTGCACTAAATTTGTATTAAAATTTATACAGTAGAAGTGTCATCAATAATATTTTATCGAGTACAAATCTCAATGCATTTTTATAAATGAACTTCCAAATTCAAATTCAACGCCCTCTGGGCCCCATTTTCAGCTAGCTGATAGTCAAATTGACTGCCTCGATAGGATGAACCCAATGATATCATTTAAACGTAGATCAAGTAGTCGAAGCACATTTGGAGGCTTTGGATTGTTAATTTAATAATCAAATGAGGTCCAAATTAGACATATTCATAGTCAAATTGAGCATCTCAACTAGAGAAACCTAACAAGCCTAAGATCACTCAATTTCATGGTCACTAAGGTTATCAAATTATTAACAATCCATTTATAATCAATGAGGATCAACATAGACCGTCTGATCAGATGATTAGGGAATTTATGCACCAAAAGACCAAAATGCCGCGCTCCAAAAGCCTATAAATAGATCCCCCTTTTCACTTGATAGGGAGAAAGAAGAAGAGAAGTTGAAAAAAAAAAATCTCATAGCCTATTTTGGAGATAAGTCCTGGAAAATAGCCACCAACTTCCGTAGCACCACCGACGACCGTCGCTCATCAACCATCGTCAACCATTAATGTCCACCACTGCTTGCCGCCGCCGATGACCACTGGCCGTTGGCAACCCCTGCTTGTAGTTTTATAGCAAAAATATGATTTGTATGTCTAACAAATGTATTTTCTTTGTGTTGTATAAAGATAAGTGTACCTTTCAGTGGAAAATTGTAAATTTGATCTCCCTGCTGCTAGAAAAAGGAGCACCCCAACACTTACAGACCCAAAGTGGATTACTTTGACTCGACTAAACCCGGTGATTTTTTCACTTTGTAGTTCTTTTCCAAATAATAAAAAAAATAAACTTAGTGTATCATCCTGCTGGTTCATGTTTTCTGTGTATAGGATCTTCCAATAATGCTAAGAAATTAAAACACTACTCCAACGAGACAACTATTTTAAAAACAATATTATAGTTTCTATTTGATGGCTAGTAATTATTAAATTTATCCATATATAATGCATAAAGTGCACAGTATTTGCATTGATAAGGCTTCCATTTGGTGAAGAAAATAATAAAAAAAGAAAGAAAAAAGAAAGATGATAAAAAGATAAAAATAAAACAAAAATTTGAACTAACATATAATAAAAATATGATTATTTAAATCTTTTTTTATGATAAAAGCCATAGCTAATTGTTTAGCTAAACAGATAATAAAAACATCTATTATTCATAAAAGCATAAAGCAAATGTTCAACCGAAGGAGGCCAAAATAATTTTTGGTCAAACAATCCGAATATCATGTGGTCCACATGGGAAACCTGAATTCATTTTTTTGTTTAATTTGTTTCCTATGTAAAAATTATTTCATTCTTGATACATGATAAATAAATTTCGAACATCCGGTATAAATCTCAACATATTGCACGGATCTTGATGCACCTTTCTGGGCAGGAATTGTTTAAATTTTGATAAAAAGTCAACTGAAAGTCCGATTTCAGTTAACTTACAATTAAACTGATTGGCTCAGTAAGACGGCCCCAGTGATACCAAACTTGATCCAATCCGAGTCAAATTAAGCTCATATCAAGTCATCAAACCACAATTGGAAGTTTTCCCGACATATATGGTAGATCAAATATAAGTCAAATTTGATGAGCACATGGTTGAATCGAGTGCCTCAACAAGACGAATCCAACATGCCCTAGATTGCTCAATTATGACATCGTTAAGACCCTCAAATGTCAATCAAATGTTGTTTGATCAAGTGAATTTCTCCAAACAGTTTGATCAAAGTGTTTTATATTCATACATTAATTGCATCCGGAACTCTCTAAATAAAGTCTCACCCATCTCATGAAGGGATGAGCTTGAAATCTGAGGATAGCTTATGGCCCGAGGAAGCGCTTGAAGCATTGAGAAGGAGCTGAAGTCCAGCATCACTCCTGCCACCATTGACCACCGTCGACCACCACTTGTCAGGTGTCGTCGATCATCATCAATCACTGTTCATTCATTGTGACAAGTTCATATGGGCTTCAACTTTGTAACTTTGGAGACTTTATAACTCTTTCTCATTTGTGGGATGGGGATATACTTGTAATCTTTAATAATAATGAATTTCTTCAACTGGGAAAAAAAATTGCGTGTGTAAGACGTACACAGCGCTGCGTACGTTAGGGTTATAGAGAGGGTACGGGGCGGTTATATCCGCGTTATATCCTTTATAACCTCCATGTAATCTGCATGTAATCTATATGTACCTTTTATTAAGCTCCACGGTTCTATTTTCATATATTTGTAGGTTACAGATAGGTTACGGGGAGATTACAGAGGGCCTAATGCGGATATAACCCTTATGAACCCTCTGTATAACCCTGACGTATGCAACGCTGCGTACGTTTTACGTACGCAATTTTTTTCCCTTCAACTGGGTCAAGCTTCGTGATTTTTTCTCTTTACGGGTTTTCCACATAAGAAAATTCTGGTATCACAGTTGGTTGTTTTCTTTATTCTGAATGTGTGTTGAATTCTCATGCAATGTTAAGACAATAATTTATTATTCTGATGTTATGAATCTTCTAGCAGACATTAATTCTTATGAATAAATTAAATGTTAGTTATGTATTATGACTTAGGGTAAACTTATAGTAAGATTGTATAAAACATAATTAAAAACTTAAATAAAGCTTTATATATTAGTACACACATAGATAGTAGAATATGAGTATAATGTGACATCAAAATTTTTTTATGTGGAAAAATCGTGGAAATAGAAAAAATCACGGGGTCTAACTCAGTCAAACTAATCGATTATTTGATTGTAAGTGCATACATCCACTCCTCTTGAATTAGAGAATATGAAATTGCAAAGATCATAATCATAGAAGTATAATAGGAATGTAGTATAATAATCATAATCGGACTACAACAAATGTAGTTATCGGTTATAATAGTGATGGTCGGTCACAAATGCTTAAGTGATGGTTGTAATAGTATTAATTGATCATAGCAGTCGTAGTTGAAAGTTGTAGCACTAGCGGTTAGTCATAAAGATTGTGGTTGCTTGTTACAAGGTAGTAGTTGTCCAATAAGGTCAATTAGCCACAAATGTCATAGTTGAAAGTTATAACAGTAATAATTAGCCACAAAGGTTGTAGTTTGTTGTTGCAAATGTCATAGTTGGTTATAAAGGTTATAATCGATAGTTGCAATAAAGTTAATTGGTCATAGAGGTCATAATTGTCATAATTGGAAGTTGTAACAACAGTAATTGATGTTAAATGTCATAATTAGTTGTTGCAATAATATCAATAGGTCTTGTATGTCATAGTTGAAAGTTGTAATAGTAGTTGTCAGTCGCAAACGTAGTAGTTGGTTATTATAATATTGATGCTTGGTTTTAGAGGCGGTGAAGACCGATGGTGGTCGATGGTGGTTGGCGGTAGCCGAAAGACAAGTTTGATAATAGTCAGTGGCTATGAAAAGATTTGGTTATTGTAGGGTTTTCAATACACATATTAAGCACAATTAATATATTCAAACTACGATTATTGCAAACAGGGGTAGTCAATGGTCAACGACGGTGGACAGTGCCCACTGGCAATGGTCAACGATGGCTGATGGGCAATGGTCTGCAGTGGTTGATGGCTAACAATGATAGTATTCGAATTACGATATTTGCATACATGGTTCACCAATGGCTGGTGGTCAACGACGGCTAGTGGTGATGACTGGTGGTTGATGATTATATGTGGCTACAGAGACATGAATGTCGTCGGGACTTTTCTCACAATATCTAGAATTCCTCTACTTACCATTTTCTACTCCAAGTGAAGAGAGAGAATATATTCGCTTTCCTTTATATATATATATATCTATATATATATATGACGTTTTTGGCTAGAGCTTGGTTTTGCGCTGGCAATTTTGGCGGCCATGGGTTTCTCTTCTCCGTTTGTGGCTTTCTT